TGTTGTAATAAAGAAAAACAAAAGTAGAATGCTATAATAAGAAATTTTATAAAAGTAAGTTGCTATTTCATGCATTTATAAGAGTAAATTACGAATTTGGTCCTTAAGGTTTGTTATTTGTTAAGGAATTGGTTATTTTATCTTCATCTATGACATGAGAACCTTCCACCTAAAAGACCGTAAAGCAAATTAAACCCTCTTCCACCACCATCACATCCCTTAGTTGCCTCCCCGAACCCTACTGTCTACCTCGTCCCTTCAAGAATCACCGCCTCCACCCACCACCCATTTCCTTCAAGAACCGCCACCACCACCATTACCGACCCTCTCTCCTCCATCTTCTTCAAGAACCATCACCACTCACCACTAATATCCTACAAGATCAAACTTAAAAATTCGACCAGTATATGTTATAAATCCTAACAAAATGATAAAATTAATTCTATTAAATAAATGGTTGTCTTTTGCTGGGTGTCTCCAACTTATTAATTTTGTGTTATCATCCATTAGTGTCTATTGGGCGTCTATGTTCTTGCTGCCAGTATCTGTTATAAAGGAGATTGAAAAGATGTTAAGAGGCTTTTATGGAATAGTGGGGACTTGGTGAGAGGAAAAGCAAAAGTTAAATGGAAAATTGTTTGTCTACCTATGAATCAAGGTGGGTTGGGGGTTAAGGATCTTAGAAACTGCAACAAAGCTCTATCCAAACAAATTTGGAAGTGGTAGAAAAAGGTGATTCGTTATGGGTATAGTGGATACACGAACCATCGTTTGAAAGACAGAAATTTCTGGGAAGTTGGTGAAGTCTATGATGCATCTTGGTTATGGAGGGAAACTTTACAGATCAGAAACATGTTTACAGAGCATGTTATTTATCAGATGGGGTGATGGTAAAGACACATCATTATCGTTTGATTTCTGGCATCCAGTTGGTCCACTTTGTAACTTAATTTCAAAAAGGGAAATCTACTGTGCAAGGATGGACCTGAATTTGAAAGTCAGGGACGCTGTCATTGATAGTTTGTGGTCTTGGCCTATGTAGATATGGAACAAGTATGGGAAATATTGCAATTATATTTGCCTCCTCTATTTGATGATATCAAAGATAAAGTCAGATGGAGAAAAAAGGATGGGTTCCCTTCTGATTTTAGTGTTGCTGCTGTTTGGAGGGATAGGCTAAGGATACTCTTAGATGAACTTAAATTTGGGATTGATTGGAGCTAACATATTATGTCAGGTTCTTGGGCTTTGCCGCTAGTGTTACCTCATTCAAAATCAGGAATGGTCCTATAGTGAATCTTCATTCTGGCAGCCAACCATCTATTCCTATGTTGCCAAAATGGCTTCTTCAAGTTCTTCAAGATGTATTCAAAATCCTATCTGAACTAAAATTGGTGAAATAAGGTGGCTTTTTCTTATCTCAACCTATGCTCTGTTACAAAAAGCCGATGGCTTTGTATTGATGGAATGGTTGGATTTGAGATGGAGGGTTTCATGATGGACCTAGTGTTGGGACGAAAGTTAGAGTTTCAATCTTTCTAATATGTAATCATGGAATCAATCGATAGAACCAATGGTGGAAGGGTTTTGATTTCAGTAGGTATATGGATGTGAGTATCAAGCACTTTAATCTGAGTCTTGATTCAAGGTCCTCCTATGTGGAATTCATGGATCGAAATTCGATTGTATGTACTAACAACCATCATTGAATCACTCGGTTTGTGAGTATTGACAAAAGGGTTCGATTAGATGATGCTAATTTGATGAGTTATGAATTAAGAACCGAATTATGTATCTGCCTCGAACCTTTTCGATTTCGTCTTGGGAATCTCCTTCTCATCCTCGTTTTTGGACTGGTGGTTTAAGAGAAATGGACATTTTGGCTGGTTTTTACACTTTGGACCTAAATTGATTCCATTGCAATTGGTTTGGTCTTATTTAATGGTGTTGGGCTTATGGTTTATATTGATGTCACCACTACCACCAATCTCCTTCAAGAGGTTTTGCCTTTATTTTCTGTGGCGAGGGTGTGTGGAAGCATAGAGGGGAGAGTAAGAGGAGATTGATATTGTGGTCAGAGTAGAAGCAAAGAAGGGAAAGTTGCAACAGATGAGAACTCACATCGAAATATCCCTCAAAGATTCCTGGATGTGTAGAGTATGCCAACTCTAGTTCTTGGGTTCTTTTCAAGTAGCCCAATACTCTGCCAATTGTTTTCCAATAATCTAAACCTAGATTGCTGGTATATTGACTCAGTCTACTCACAGCAAAAGCAATGTCCGGTCTAGTGCAATGCATTGCATACATCATGCACCCTATTGCACTAGCATATTCTAGTTGAGCCACTGCTCTACCAGTATTTTTATCATGTTTCACACTTGAATCAAACGAAGTGTTAAACTCCTTTATATTAAGATGTTGAAACTTGGTCAATATCTTCTCTATGTAGTGAGATTGACATAGAGAGATTTCAGATGTTAATCTTTTGATCTTTATCCCAAGGATGATATCTACTTCTCCAAGATCTTCCATCTTAACGTTCGAGGATAAGTACCCTTTTGTCTCAAGAATACCATCTAGATTGGTTCCGATGATCAACATATCATCAACATAAAGACATATTACCACAGTGTACCCTCTCGTGTATTTTGAGTAGATGCATCGGTCGGCCCCATTATGTTAGAACCCGAAAAATGTGATGGTCGTATCAAACCTTTCGTGCCACTATTTAGGAGTTTATTTTAACCCGTATAGTGATTTAATAAGTTTACACACTTTATTCTTTTGTCCAGGTACTACAAATTCTTCAGGTTACTCCATGTAAACCTCCTCGTTTAGATGGCCATTCAAAAAAGCTGTTTTCATGTTAATTTGGTGAATATACAATCCTTTTATGCTATAAGAGTTCGAACGGAACTAATTCTAGCAACTAGAGCATATGTAAAACCCAAAAATTTCGAGGAATAAATAATTTATCTTCATTATTATTCTTTTCATTTTTGAATTATAAAACACACACACACGTACTTATATATATATATATATATATATATATATATGTTAAATAAATTAATTAATTAAAAGAAGTTTAAAAATCAGACTAAAGTTGAAAGAAAAAAATCAAAATAAGAGTGAAAATTGTAAATTTCGTTAAAGTAAGCAAGTCAGGGAGTTGTAGGTCATTTCTCATAGTGCAGGGGTAGTATCTAGTGTAAAGTGGTCCAAAAATGAGGGACTTGTTTCGTAAATAGGACAAACTCTGAAATTTGAAAATTACTTTTCAATAAGAAGTTTAAAGAGCTTCGATTGGCTCGGTTGGTTAACAAATAAGCCAAACAAAACCAGATTTAAGTAGGTTTCGTTGTTCTCTTCATTTAGACTTAAACCACTCGAATTTTCATCGAGTTTTGAAGGAGAAAACCGGAGCTGAAGTTCAAGATAAAAAATCCCCGTTTTTCGTCGGAGGTTAAATACTCAACTAAAATTCATGTTCTTTATATGATTAGCTTCGTTTTTTAGTCCTCTATGGAATCCTAGTAGTCTTATGTTTCAGATTTCGTGTTTTATGGTTCGTTTTTGAAGTTTTAAGTTTAGTTCGGTTTAGTTTAAAATTAAAACTTTAAGCAAGAAAATGAAACTCATTTCTTGACGAAAAATTGTGTTTCTTATGTCAAAATGTTAGTAAAAATATTACAAAGGATTTGGTGTAAAAAGAAAGAAAAAAAAAACAAAACAAAAAACGAGTAAAAACGAAGCTCAATGAGCTTGAAAATGACAGCCATGACTGCTGTTGGGCGGCCTTCTTCTTCATTAAAAAAGTTAATTTTTTAAAGAGGCCAAGTTTCAAACCCATGACCTCTAACATACAAAGAGACATTTTAACCACCAACTCCAACAAATCCTTATATTTTAGAGTTTACAACAAAACATTTATGTTGGCCTATCTGTTCTTATTTAAAAATAGATTTTAGTATAGTTATTAAAGTTTCAGAAATAAGATTTCCATACAATAACTTTTTGAAATTTTTGACAAGTTCTACTTGGATTTACAAAATGAAATTTTTGCCCAACTTTGATAATAATAAAAAATTATGACATTACCAAAATACTTTTACAATTAATATATGTTATTCTTGCCTTTCAAGGTGGTCCTTGCTGATTCACATGGGATTCCACATGCCCCATGCTACTCGGGTCAGAGTGTAAGCTAGTGATGCTTTCGGCTACTGGACTTTCGCCATCTAGGGTGCATCATTCTGCTGCTTCGCCTAACAGCACGACGCTTGTATTGCTCTCTCACAACCCCGTTTTCACGGTTTAGGTTGCTCCCATTTCGCTCGCCGCTACTATGGGAATCGCTTTTGCTTTCTTTTCCTCTGGCTACTAAGATGTTTCAGTTCGCCAGGTTGTCTCTTGCCTGGCCATGGATTCATCAGCAGTTTGAAAGGTTGACCTATTCGGGAATCTCCGGATCTATGCTTATTTTCAACTCCCCGAAGCATTTCGTCGCTTACTACGCCCTTCCTAAAAAAACGAAGTGCAAAGTGCGCCTCCTCACGTCATTTTCGCGAATCTCACGCCTTCGGCCTCGGCCACGACCACGTGTGTGTGTGTGTGTGTGTTGGGTCTTCCACTCAAGACCCCCACCATAGTCTAACAACTTGTTCAAAGTCTAATTCTAGAAAAATTCTTATAAGTTTATCTAGAAATTCTTTATCTACCAATATAGAATGGAAGACAAACTTCCAACCCACAAAATTTCCTATTAATACTATGAAAAAAATTACAAGTTTTTTAAAAGAAAAAATAAAATTAAAATATTTGTCCATACTAAGTTTCGTATTTAAATCAAAGATGTTTGGTGTGAGGATAAATTTGTATCCGAGGCGTCATCTCCACGCGCCTCTATCGTTTCGATATTATTTAATTTAATTTAATTCAATCCATTTTTATTTTATCTTTCTTGCCCTTTATATATGTGTGTCTCTTCGCGTTAGTTATTCGTTCACCGCCAAAACACTCTTCAAACAACCAACCGATTGATGAAGCCGATTTCCGTTTTGTTTCTGTTGTTTGCGACCACATGTGTGTTCTTGCGGTCGGAATCTATAAGCAGATCTGATTTTCCAGATGGTTTTACATTCGGAACTGCTTCTTCTGCTTACCAGGTTTGTCTTGTTGAATTGTTTCAGACATTTAATCGAGCATGTTATGTGCATACAAGAGATGATCAGGCTTCAATTCCTTTATGTCAGTTTGAAGGGGCAGTCGACGAAGGAAATAAAGGAGATAGCATATGGGATACCTTCTCAAGGCTACCTGGTAATTAAGTAGACTTGATATATTCATCTTAAATATGGTTAATCTGATGATGATCCAACCTTACAGGAAGGATATTGGACTCTAGCAACGCCGACCTGGCTGTCGATCAATATCATCGCTTCAAGGTTCATTTCTTGAATTATAAGCAAGCATACTCCGTTTTCAAGATTCAGATTCCTTGCTTTATCATGTCTACAAGCAACCTAATATAAGATGAATTCATTATTGCTCACTGAATATATAAAAGAGATAATATCTTTCCTATTATCAGACAGATATTGAATTGATGAAGAACCTCGGTATGGATGCTTATAGATTCTCAATATCATGGTCAAGAATATTTCCAAGTAAAGCAACAATGTTAATCCTCTTAATGTTATGGTATACTATCCCTTTCGTTGAAAATGGCAGATAGACTGAAATCTAATTTGATGTTAACAGATGGAACAGGCAAACCGAATCCACAAGGGATCAGATACTACAACAGATTCATTGATTCTTTATTGGAGAAAGGTCATTCTTTACTTGAATTTGATTTTGGGCAACACAAAAAAAAAACAGTATCTAATCCTGCTGAAGGTATTATATCAGGAATTCAGCCCTATGTAACTCTGTATCACTGGGATCTTCCACAGATGCTTGAAGACAGATATGATGGATGGTTGAACACCCAGATAATGTAAGCAAGTCATAAATCTATCTACCTATGTGAACACTAAATAGCAAAATAAGGATTACGGAATATGCTCCTGTTTGCAGAGAGGACTTTGAGCATTATGCTTTTACCTGTTTTGAAGCATTTGGGGATAGGGTGAAACATTGGATCACTTTCAATGAGCCTCATGGTTTTGCAATTCAAGGCTATGATTATGGTATTCAAGCGCCAGGGAGGTGCTCATTTCTGTTCCATTTGTTATGTAAGAAGGGAAAGTCATCTCATGAACCATACATTGTAGCTCACAACATTCTATTATCTCATGCTGCTGTTTATCATGGCTACCAACGGCATTTTAAGGTAAATATGACCCCCCCTTCTTCCCCAGTAGAAAAAGAAAGGAAGTGGGAATAACCTGTTTTAACAATCTTGAGAAAAGTGATCTGTCATTTGGGGTAGATATGAATCAACCTTGTGTGCATCTATGATCTGTCATTCTCAAGTCCTAACAATCTTTTTCTATTAGAAGTCTCTGATGAATTCCCTAATTGATTTGTGGGTGCTCCAGGAAAAGCAAGGAGGTCTAATTGGAATATCATTAGATATCAAATGGTATGAACCTCTCTCAGACTCTGATGAGGACCGTGATGCTGCAACTCGAGCAATGGATTTTGGCCTTGGCTGGTAATAATTTGACCACAGTAATGTTCGATAAGAGATGGTTATTTTGAGGGTAAAACCAATCTCACTGTGTAACGCAGATTAAAGTGAATCAGGTTTCTTGATCCTCTTTTCCTTGGAAGCTATCCTCTTTCTATGCAAAATCAAGTAGGCGACAGACTACCTGAAATCAGTCCTGTGGTTTCAGAATTTATCATGGGGTCCTTGGACTTTGTTGGCATCAACCATTACACCTCGTTATATGCTAAAAATGACAGAACTGGAATTCGAAAATTCATACTGCGGGATGCTTCCACTGACGCTGCTGTTATTACGTCTTGTAAGTGAAGCTTCATATTCCCAAATCATTATGTTGAATCTTTCAGATTTATTTTTTAGAAACACTTCACTCTGTTGGAAGATGGTCAAGTTTGTTATTGTTAGTGTGTAATAAAGTGGGTATTTTTACAAATAGATTTTTACTGATTGATGTTTGTTCATGTAGCTTCTAGAAATGGAGAATCGATTGGAGAAAAAGTAAGTGAGCATCTCTCTAACTCTTTTCTTGATGGAGTGAAATTATACAATGCCAATAAAATTCCAACACCACTTGCAGGCTGCTTCGAGTTGGCTACGCATTGTGCCATGGGGTTTGAGAAAGTTAGCAGTATATATAAAAGAAAAATACGGGAACCCACCAGTGATTATCACTGAAAATGGTAAGTCATTCACAGGCTAATATATTTAACTTGAGTTAATGATGGAACACGAATCATGCAGGTATGGATGACCCAAACAAAGCTCATATAGATTTAGACGAGGCGCTGCAGGATGACAAGAGGATAAGTTACCACACAGACTATTTGTCAAACCTATCAGCTGCTATTAGGTACAAACTCTTAGAAGGTGTTGATTGAATCAATTTGGAGTTGTAACGTTAGATTAATAGTTAATAATGCAGGGAAGATGGATGTGATGTGCGTGGTTATTTTGTGTGGTCGCTGCTTGACAACTGGGAATGGAACTATGGGTATACTGTTCGATTTGGACTGTATTATGTGGACTACAAGAACAATCTGACAAGAATACCAAAGTCTTCTGTCAACTGGTTCAAAGGTGTTCTGAGATCACTACCTCATCCTGTCGTATAATCAATGCCATCTGTTGTGAATTGGTTCCTGTTATTATCTGAAATGAAATTTTATAGCGTGAATGAAGAAACTGTAGAAAAGTGACAAATGGCTTTCAAGCAAAAAACATATTAACATGATCATTCAACTGTCATTGCAATAATAACCCAGAATTCATAATGCTAAAGCAGTTGCGACACATTAAGCACGTTTAAGAACAACGACAGTGATAACCATGATCGCCAATCCCATAAGAGTTGCTGCAATGGTGGTTTTCTCCACAGATATTCCAGCGGTTCCATCTGGATTCATGGTATATTCTTGGCCTTTTGCTGAACCACCAGCAAAAAGGGACAGGAAGGTATCAGAGAAGCTGGTCATCATATCGACCACTGTAACACTGATCTTCTGCTTGATGTCCTCCACATAATCCCTAAAACCCTTTCCAGATGCAGATTTGGATTCACTTGCTTCTGGGCTCCTCTCATCATTTACTTGTGGGAAAATAACACCTGCACTTAAAAAAATACATATATATAATATATATTTATGTAAGAAGAGAATTAATAAAGCTGAATGAATGTTTAGCTAACTGGTCTTATGGGTCTGCAAGAAATCCACGAGCGCCTCATTTTTTAGAACAGCAGTCCACACATTTGGATCGGAAGCAATTGAGGCCACAACATTCTGGTAAAAAAGAAGCAAAAACAAGAAATGAAAAAATTCAAGCAAAAGAATGGCAATTAATAAAGAAAAGAGAAGCAAACATACCTGAGCCTCAGTATTTTCATGAAGAAGCCTAAAAGCTTGGATTGCATGCTTTGATGCACAAGTGTCGGTAACAAGACAAGGTTTAGTCTCCACATGCTCCAAATCAAACAGAAGCGATGAATTTTGATCATTTGAAGACAGATAAGTCCTGGAAAACAACAGAGCCCTTGTAAATTCACATGATTTCTCTCTGTCTCTCTCTTAATCAGAAGAAACTCATTTGGAACAATGACCTTTAATTTAAGTATCGGGTATTCAGGTGTTCTAAAACCGGATGTTTCTTTGATTGAACCCAAGAATCAACAAGTTGTCTAGAAAGTGGTATTGGTTAAAAATCAAGAATTGTTGCTAGAAATAAAAACCTAATTTGGGATTGCTTAATCTATACTACCTTATTAAGCAGATTTAGTAAAAGTCTTAAAAACAACTTAAAATGCATAAGGTACAACCTTTAGACTTTAAAGTCTTAAAAAACAATATATAATGCATTTAGTACTACTCTATAAAGCACATGATAACCCGGCTCTCTCTCTCTCTCTCTCACTTTCAAAAGACGCTCCACTCTCACTCTCACTCTCACTTCCTTTCCAAACGACGCTCCACGCTCACTTCCCTTTCCAACGCAACTTTGCCCTCCAAAGAGACGATTACATAGATGACAATTCAGTCCCCAAGGCAATGATTCAGGCGATTGATAACCCTAGGGTTTATAAAAAATGGCTCCTGTCAGGCAACGATTCAGGCGATTGAGGGCACGATTTCAATTCAATCCTGGAGGTTTTCAATTCAATCCTTGAGGGCACGATTTGATTCATTGCGAGTGGAACCTGGAGGTTTTCAAGTAGTATTTTATTCAAAGGTGAGTTAATTTAGGGTTTACTGATTTGCGTCATTGTTAGTGAGTTTGGTAACTGATTTGCGTCATTGTTAGTGAGTTTGGTTACTGATTTGCGTCATTGTTAGTGAGTTGGGTTTAGGGTTTATTTCATCATCGTTAGTTGGCTGTCACTTTATACTTTTTTCATTGGCAATGAGCTTATCAGTATATGGCATTCAACTTTTAGGTAAAAAGAAATCAAAGTCTGATGGAAGTGATTCAGGTGAAGAGAACATGTCTAAAATAAGATCTAGCCTTAAAGCAAGCAATTGATCAAATCAATACTTCTCATGGAAAGGGATCTATCATGTTTCTTTGTCAGTGTGCTTCTCCCAGACAAGTCCCAGTGGTGTCTACAGGACCTTTTGCATTAGATATAGCATTGGGAGTTGGTGGCTTTCCAAAGGCATTTACACTGTGTTAGTGTCCTATTTCTCTTTGCTTAAAAGTATTGGAATGTATATATTTAAAATTTATATGTACGTTCAGTAGGTAATCTTATACAAAATATATAATAAATGCAACAACTAGCTCTTCATCTCAAGTTGGTTGTGAGACTGAACTTGCTGAAGTGGTGAAACAACCATATAGTAACTATAACAATGGTGTTTGCTTGAAATTTTTGTTCATGCATGCTATAATGTTGCTCCATTTTCATCTTATTTGTTTCTTTGTCCTGCTGTTGATATTGCAACATATGGTTCAATTCAGAAATGTCGTTGTCCAAGTGTTTTATAGTCCATTTAGTATTAAAGTAACGTTTTGAATAAGTCTATGCTTTGGGGTGTAGACTGCACTTTTGGAACTTGGTTGGTGATTAGATGCATAGCAAGAATTACCTGCCAATTTGATTTGATGTTCTTMGTTTCATATTGCTATAGACCATTGTATTTTCTCGATATTTGCATGCTTGCTTATAAACTCATGATCTTAAACATTGTATTAATGGACCTATGATCGTGATAATCAATGCGCACTTTTGTGGCTGAGGAATATTTTAGTTATGTTTGTGACTCGGAGGTCCTGATTGATGCTCACAATGAGGTTTTTTTGCCGGAGCATCTAGCTATAAGGTCTCTTGCCTACTTGTGTTGTTTACATTGCATTTCCTTTACCTCTTTTGAATTGCATTTGAATAGGTTATTGAATGATACAATGCTTAAAATTATGTTTCTTTTCTAATGCATTCATCTACCTATGCAGGGACGCGTAGTTGAGATATACGGCCCAGAGGCCTCTGGAAAGACAACTCTTGCTCTGCATGTAATTGCTGAAGCGCAAAAGCAAGGAGGTTAGTTTTCAATGCTTTGTTAAATTTTATACACATTAAGAGGTAGCTGAAAGCATATCTTGCTTGTGTATTCTAGAGAACCTTGTAGGAGTTTTTAGTTGCTCAAGGCGTGAACATGTGTGCTTATTTGTTATGTTTAAATTTGTTTATAAGTCTCCACCATGGTTAATTAATTCCACTCGCGGCAACCCGTTGATTCGGATATATAGTTTTTTATGGTTTACAGTCGCAAAGGAGTCATTTAAATTATTTTGCTTCGTKATCTGTATTCAGATTATAACAAAGTTGCAGCCATGTCTTTGAAAGCAGTAAAGTGTGTAAGGGTCTGTTTGTTAGCAGCTTATAAACTTTTTGGTGATGTGAATGTAAAGTTTTTGGCGATGTGAATGTAAAGTTGTCCACATTGGTGTGACCCTTTTATTAACTTTTTATAAATGGGCATGCCATCAGATGCTAGAAGATCAACATATTATTGGTTAAAATGGGTAAAATAAGAAATTTTGGAACTTTATTGAGGAAAAAATTCTTTTTGCCACTAAATAAGAACTAGGGACTGTTTGTTTACCTCTTAATAGTTTCATTAAGAGGTAGCCTTTGAATCGCTAAGGGGTGAATCTTGTTTGACTAAAAACAGGTATGCCTTTTAATGGTTCTAAAACCCTCTGAACGATTTTATATCTCGGGCCTCCTCGAATCATTTAGCGCCCTAATTTCATTCTAAACAATTGCCAAATAATCATATTTCATTTTACACTATATCATAACAGCCTCTTAATCATACTGCACCAAACCATTCAGCAACTGCCAAACATGTCCTAAACCAAAATATGTTGCATTTTATGTATTTTGTCCTTTGTAAAAGATTAATGATGATATGAAATTCTTTTACTTGGGACTTGAAGTTGCATTTTGATGTATTTTATTTTTTGTACTTTACTTTTAGTTTTAGTTGTATTGATTCAACCCATGTTCTTTGTTGTGATTTGTTGAACCTCATGATGTGTCAGTTTTCAAGTTTATCAATTTTGTATCAGTTCCTTGTATTGATTTGCTGAATCCCATAATATTTTTATCAGTTTTTGTATCTTATCGTGATTTATATAAATTTTTAACATGTATTAGTTACTTTTGGGTCAATGTCTTTTTGGATGTTCTTGAAGTTGTTTGGACTTTTCTGTAATGGAAGTTCACCCCACAATTCTTTTTTGCCCATTTCTTAGGTTCTAAGTTGCCTATTCAAACAAGATCCTTTATTTGGGATGCAAAAACTAGAGAAATTGGCATTCAACGAATAGGTTTTTTTGATGATCTTAGAATCTAGGTTCCTTCTATGTTTAGTTTTGTTTTCCTGTATCATTCGAGACTAAATCTTTCAGAATTTGAAGTTCTCTTTTTGGAGTAATTGTTGTCACTCATTTGCTAATAATATTTTGACAAGTGATACTGCTACCATCATGAATGAACTTGAGATTCAGCATCCTGCAGTGAAAATTTTGGTTTTGGCGGGGAAAGCCCAGTAGGAGGAAATTGGTATGGAGCCAAGTGCCAACCTAACAGTTTCATTTGCAGGGGAGCTTCTACAGGGTGCAGAAGAATGGAAATAGTTTAATTTGCTATTCCTTGTAAAGTTGTTGACATTTTTTTAATAAACCACCTTCCTTCATTAAATCAAGCCTTCTTCTTGCATTTTCAGATAGATAATTGATTTACATGTCCATTGAGTGTTTTAAAACACTTGCAGACAACTTATTTATCTTCATCAATTTGGGGCACATAGTTTGACAGCAAAGGCCATGCATTTTCACCTTACATTGTTTTTATTAATTAGTATATCCTAGAAGCATGCAATTTGAGCATTATCTCATTGTACCCAACCTTTTACTTTATATTTGCAGATTGTTGAGATCTTGGAAGGATTGGTCGAGGAAGGTTCTGACACCATGAATGCTTGTTGTACCTTACCTTCAATGCTTTTAACTTATTTTGGATATATTGCCTTAGAAAGGATTGTCGATAAGATTTACTTAGAATCTTATTCCTTGCAAAGATGATTGCAAAAGCTTCTAATGGGTTGTTTGTTTACCTCTTAATAGTTTCATTAAGATAGTCTCTGAATCTTTAATTGGTGATTTAATTATTCCAAAACCCACTTGAATGATTTTGTATCCTGAACTTTTCTTAACCATTCAGTACCATAATTTCATCGTAAACAATTATATTTTTCATTTGGCACCATATCATGAGAGCTTTTTAATCATTCTAACCATTCAGCAGTGGTCAAACAAGCCCTAATACTAGAATTTCACATGGATGGTTATTTGAATCTAACATAGGTACAAATGGTGTAGGCTTATTACATCTTGAAAGATTTGATATTTCGAAATTGAATAAATCTTTTAAATCCCGCATCATTGTGTGCGGGCATACAACTAGTGTCAAACAAAACAGTAGTCAGTAGGTGAGACATTGAAAAAAAGCAAATATTTTTTTAAAAGGCAGGAAGGAGATTTTTACTTGTCAAGAGCATCACCGAGATCAGAGGTGGCTTGTTTCGCCTCTTGAATAGTCGGCGCACCACCAAACACCAGCCTAGGCATCGGATCGTTCAGAAGCTCGTCTGCAAATTCCCAATCATCATAACCCTTCTCTACCGACGAATTCGTCGTCTTATTAGCAATGGCCAATTTCACATCATCTGAAGAAGAAACCCCAGACGCAACGGAACGACGAGCGGCGGAAACCACGTGGTTTCCACCACCACGAAGGCCACCGTTCGAGACCCCTAACCCAGCAACCTTCGCGGCCGCTCTCATGGCTGCTCCACCACCCATAACTTACTCGCTGCTTCTGTAACAAGGATTGAGATGGATCGTTTCACCCATAGGTTGGAATTTATAAAAAAAATAAAAATCAAAGACCGACTCGATCATGATATGGTATGATATGCTAACCCGATTGAATCGTTTGTTGGAAAGACCCAAAAGTCCAAAACTAAATTTATAAAAATTTGATGATCTTTTAAATAAAAAAAAATGGTTCAAAAACTAAATCATTCAAAATGAGAAAGTTTGTTGGGTTTTTTAAATTTTTTTCCTTAAAGATATATGTAACTTTTTTTTAATAAACTAGGAATGTATTCGTGTAATGTAACATGATACATATTAATTTTAATGTTTTATTTTATTATTTATCTCTTTCGATTTTATGATACTTTCACGGTTTTGAGAAATCAATAATATTTTTTATGTTTGAATAAAATATAAATTTAAGGAGTCTATAAAAATTTGAAAAATTATCTTATATTAATGTCAAATAAACAATTTAAAAGTTTTTTGTTTTTTACACAAATTTTTTTAATTCAATTCTTTTATTATAATTTGATTTAGGTTTAATAACAAAGTAATTTATTTTAGGTAGAATAACATAATTTTTTATAAAGTTAATAATCAAGTATTATGTTAGAACTTAGTGATTATCCTAATTATATTTTAGACTATCTATATTTAAAACAAAATATTTATCATGCATTTGATTATGTTTATTTGTTTGTTATATGAATTCCAAGATATAGTTTTAAAAGGTTGTACTCATAACACCATTTACTTGTGATCTTGAGATTTACGTAATATGCATTAACAAATAATAATTAATTCATAAAAATGGTTTTTAAATTTTGTCTCAAATGCTTTAGAGCATTTCTAACATATTCCCAAAAAGTTCTTCAAAAAAATTACATTCGCCTCCAATAGAATCCCCATTTTGAAGAATCTTTAGGATTTAGGGGTTATGGGTTAGGGTTTAGGGGTGTAGGGTGTAGGGGTTAGGTGGGTAGGGGTTAGTGGTTAGGGGTTTTTTTTATACAGAGGGGGAGACCCCTCCAGATCAAGAAAAAAAGCTAAAAGCAGGACAAATACGTGCTCAGGTGGGGGCGAACCACATCCACCAGAATAACCAAGGCATGCCGAGGTGAAAGAGAGGACGCCGTATTGCCCGGCCTCCATTTTTGAATAAAAATAGGAACACTTTTAAAATGTCCAAGGACCATCATCAATAACTTTTTGAAGGCTATCAACTGATTTGAATTTGAAAAGAAAAACACCGCAACCATTTAAAAGAACATCAACAATACCATACTTAGACCAAAGTTTGGATGCATAGTAACGCACCACATGATAAGACAGACGTTTGCCAATAAAATAACCACACAAAGTTTTAGCATAAGTCTCACAGCTCTTTTTAACCACAGATAACGAAATATCAATCGGGGGTATCATCATGCTCATTTAAATTAGGAATAAAATGAAAACTAGCGCTAGCATGTTTAGTGGATCCACTTAATACATTGCCCATAGAATTTGGGAGGATTGAAAAAAATTTCCCGTTCCAAACCGAACTAGGTTTTTCTTTAAGAATACAATCTTTTTGGCTTTTCTCATTAATAGAGTTAAAGGAAGAGATATTAGTAGGTAAAGAGGAATTAGCAACATCATTAGGTAAAACATGCACAAGAG